ATTCAATCAAGACATTATAGAGCACCAGAAATTATTTTAGGGTTACCTTATTCATGTTCAATTGATATGTGGTCTTTTGGTTGTGTTATTGCAGAATTACTTCTTGGTATTCCAATTTTTCCAGGTGAAAATGAATATAACCAATTAGTTAAAATCATTGAAATGGTTGGAATGCCATCAACACAAATACTTGATAAAGGAAGTAAAACTACAAAATTCTTTAAGAAAATACCTAATAATTTTGGTGCTTGGGAATATGTCTTATTAACACCACAAGAATATTCCCAAGTAAATGGAGTTCCATTCATTGAAAATAAGAGATATCATCGTTATCGTTCATTACAAGAATTTTGTAGTGGAATAACAATGCATAGAAATGGTGAGAAAAAAAGTAATGACGATATTTATCGAGTTCGTTTATGTGACTTTCTTCAAAAAATCTTTGTTATAGACCCAGCACAAAGAATGACTCCAGAACAAGCAGCACAACATCCTCTAATGCTTTCTAAAATGCAACAACGAGGATTTGATTGGAATGGTAATATATGGGGAAGAAAGATTGAAATATCAATGTCTATGGACAATGTCATTGAAACTATATTTAATCGTCCAATGTCTCAACAATATCTTCAATCCCAAAATTTTAATGTTGATCGATATTATCAAACCTTTATTAAAGCATTAAATAATGGAATTGTATTAAATGTCCTTCATATTAATCCATTTCATTTTAAACCATTAAAGTGTGGATTACCAACAAAAAATATAAATAATAGTGAAGATGAATCAGAAAATGATTTGCCATCTATTGTTAATATGAGAGAAGTACCTCCAAGAAGTAGAAGCAGAAGTATGGGTTGTTTTGAAGTAGAAGAAAATAAAATAACTCCTCAAGAAGATGAAGAACTACCACCAATTGACTGTGCTCCTCAAATTCAATCATCAAGAAAAATGGTAATGACCCCAATCAAAAATATAGCAAATGCACCATTACGACCTCCAAAATCAAATCCAAGACATGGATCTTTTTCTATGTCTCCAAAAGGAACTCCAAGACAACCAGCAAATATAACTGTTGTGTTATAGTAAATAAGCCTGTGTTTAATTATTAGTTTGTCTTGTTTATTACATTAAAAACATTCATTCTTGTTTAATTATTAATTCAAAACTTTCATATTCATAATTTGGGTTTTCTTTTTTCTTTTGTTCTTTTTTAAATTTCGTTTGTTTCTTTTTGTTGATTCGTTTATTTTCTTCCTTTTCCAGAATAAAATCTTATCATCGAAAAAAAAAATAAATAAATTCTTGTGTAGATTGTTAGTTAGATGAAAAGTTTCTTTCTTCTTTTTAATATTTAAACTAAAACTAAACTCAATGTTATTCAAATGACTATACCACTTAATACTACAAACCTTGAAGAACTTAAAGAAAAAACAGCTACAGGAGTTGCTGTTGTACAATTCCATGCTACATGGTGTAAAGATTGTATTAATGTTAGACCATTATATAGAAAACTTATTACAGAAGCACCAACAACAACTTATCTTGACATTGACATTGATAAAGCTCCAGAGCTCAAGAAAATATATAACATAGTTCATGTACCTACATTTATTCTTTATCATAATGGTCAAGAATTGAAACGTATTGTAGAACCTGGATATGATGAACTTGAATCATTTATGGATGAAGCATCAAAACTATAATAATAATTCAAATTAATAAGAAATATAAACTATTTTATTCATCTTTTTTTTACTTAATAAGCTAGTTCAAAATAACTGCCAAATACAAAACCAAGTTGCTTTGATAAAAGAAAAATTTATCATTAAAATAGAATGGACTTTTCTCATTTCTTTTTCTAAAACAAAAAATATTTGTGTTACTATATAAGAAATGATATTGTTATTATTTTTTTAATATAGATTAAAAATGTTATTACTCAAGAAAAACAAAATCTGAGAGAAAAAGTGGAATGATAAATTAGTAATTAAATTATAATAAAAATAATAAAAATACGATGAACTGTTTTACTTTCAGACAATAATCTCTCTGTAAATGAGTTTGGGAGTATCATCTATTCAATCATCTGACAAATCCCTTGAACCTAAACTAGCTTCAGAAGAACGAAAGTCATGTCCTTTTCCAGAGCATTCTAAAACACCACAACGCTCAAAACATTCATTATCACCTACAACAAAAGCATTGAAACCACAACGACCATCAAAGAAAAAAGGAGAACAACGACATTCAGTGTTATTTAAAACACAATTCTGTTTAAATGTAGATGACATGAATAATACTGGTTCTCATCAATCACTTGTTGTTCCATCATCATATGACTTAAGTAGAACATTACGTGAAGAAGAAGGATATTCTGTTTCAGTAAGTAATCCATCTAATTCATCAGATGGAATACTATCGAAAGTTCCTCCAAGTGATGAATTAAAATCTGATTCTATCGAAACAAATGGCATAAAAGAAAGTTGTGAGGTTGTCTCAAAACTAAATGAACATCCTATTGTTGTTAGTACACATCCAGAAACAACCCTTCATTCTAAAAAAGATTCAAAAGAAAAAGTTGGTAAAACTACAAAAGTTAGAGAAGGTCAATTAGACAAAGACAAAATTCTTATTCGTACTTCTGAAGAACTTAATCCAAAACCACTTATGGTTCAACGTAGTGAATTGGATCTTCAAAGACTGAAAGAGGCAAAGCATGATTTTGCCATAGATATTTTTGAAGACGTGGCACTTGGAAAGGTTACTTTAGCTGACAATGAAACAAAAAGTGCACAACACACTCCAAGAGAAGAGGATGAAGCTAGTAGGAGAAAAACAATGCAACCAAATATATTGAAAAGGAATTTATTTTTAAGAAGAGAAAATAGTGATAGAGTAAGAAAAAGTGAAGATAAAAGTCAGTTTGTTAGAGTTCAAAAAGGAAAAGATTCAGTTCCTGATGATAATGAAGAAACAGAAACATTTAGTGATGACCCAGGAATGGAACAAAATGAAGGATTAACACACACTTATGTTGATAAAGAAGACCTTGATATATTAATTTCTGGAGATGATAGTAAATTAAGAAAATATCTAGAAAGAAATAGAATTACTGTTGGATTTCCTATTAAGGGATATAAAGAAGCGTTGGTATTAGATATTAGAAATGGAGATGATAATCCATTTGAACAAATGAAAGAAATTAATGCAATGGTTAATAAAAGAAAAACAGAATTTATTGAACAACATCAAGGAATCATTGTAAAAGAAATAACTATTGAAGAAAAAGATAAAAAGAAACGAGGAAAAGTTAATAAAAAGAATATTCAAGTTGTTGAATTTGAAGGAGAAGAAATTGAAGAAAAAGAAATGAAAAATGAAGAAAAAATGAGACATATTCAAATAACTGGATTTAGCAATCAAAAAGAATATTTTAATAAATTAAATGAAAAAGAACAAAGTCAATTTGAAAATTATAAAAATACATTAATGGAATTATGGTTTACAGAAGAAAATCATGTTCAATCATTAGACATTTTATTAAATTGTTATTTAAAACCATTAAATGAAAGTAAATATAATAAATCAGTAAGAAAAATGAATATTCAAATTGAACAACTTCTTAAATTACATACTCTTTTTTATAATAAATTAACAGACAGAATTGATCAAGCAGGTGATGATATTCCAATTATTTCTGATTTATTAAGATATTTCTTTCATTTCGTAAAGTCTACATGTCCTTATATTGTCGAATATAATTCAAATTTAAGGTTAGTCAATGAGTTAGTTAAACATTCAACTGCAATAAACATTATAGAAGAAAGTAGAAAGAAATATGAAGAAAGTCATCAAGGAATTGTTATTCAAAGAATTCAATCATATTTGATTATGCCAATTCAAAGAATACCTAGATATGTATTATTAATTAAAGATATGTTAAAAAACTCACCACCATTATCCCCTGATACAGATAAATTAGTTGAATGTTATCAATTGATATTGGACGTTGCTGCATGGATAAATGAAAAAAAATTATATGAAGAAGAAAGAGAAAAGTACAATATAGTTTTAAAAATAATTACTGGGTTATATGATATGAATAAATCTTGTAGAAGATTTATTGTTAGTGGATATTGTAAATATCTTGATATGGAATCTCCAAATGGAGTGAATAGTGCATATTTCTTTTTATTTAATGATGTTCTTATAGAAACTCAAGTTATAAGACATCACAACCATAAGATTAAAAGAAAACAATTATTTAATGTTTATAAGTTAATTAATGACTATGGAACTGTTGAAGATTTTAAAGATGATATGTTCCAAGTCCAATGTGTATTTATGGTTACAGAAGATGCTATTGTTTCTTATGGGACAAATCCTTCATTTGGCCCTTCTATTTCTTTTACTTCTCCTTTATCTGATATGCAAGTCACACTTGTCTTTGATAATCCTTTAGATGCTAATGCTTGGTTTGTTGCTTTAGCTTATACTATTAAATTATCTCCTCGTTTGAATGAATCAAAGAACATATTTAATATCAGAAATGAATAAGGCATTTCATTATTGTTTCATCCCAACTATTAATTGTATTGTTCTGTTATTTCGTATGATTTTATTGTTTGAATGAATTGTTTTGAACCTTCAAGTTCTGTTGTTTTTTTGTAATAATTGTTATATTAGTGTTATTTACCAATAAAATTAATACTAAACATTGTTATTGAAAATGAATATATATCT